TTATTCCCGCAGGAAGAAACTGCTCCTCGGAAGCAGTTGACACTGTGGCTATTTTTCAGTCATTAGTGGAGGTGGTTATGGGCATAACCTGTAACCCACTACTCTATTGCTTTAAAGTTATTATAAATACTTCTTGTTAGCTACGTACTACATAGTTCACAATTTATAAGCATTATTATATTGTAAGGAGCCTTGTCCTCTCCATACGGACTAAAACATTTGGGAAATTTATTCAGATTCTGTGAATTTCTCAACCATCCTTCTCTATACCTTATATATATATATATATATATATATATATATATATATATATATATATATATATATATATATATATATATATATATATATATATATATATATATATATATATATATAGGGGGGTTCTAGTGAGAACTCTCTTAAAATGAGAATTTGTGAGAACCCCAAGGAACCGATGATATTATGGCTGAAATTTTTTGTGTATGTTACTCATCAAGTCTAATTGATTCATACCAAATTTGAGCAAAAAATTCAATCGGGAAGGTCGTCGAATGATTTTTTAAAGAAAACTGGAGTTTTCTTTCAAAAATCATTGGACGACCTTCCCGATTGAATTTTTTGCTCAAATTTGGTATGGATGATCTAGACTTGATGAGGAACATACACAAAAAATTTCAGCCAAAAATACCATCGGTTCCTTCTTGTTCTCACGGGTTCTCATTTTAAGAGGGGTTCTCACTAGAACCTTCCCCTATATATATATATATATATATATATATATATATATATATATATATATATATATATATATATATATATATATATATATATATATATATATATATATATATACACACAGGTATATATATATATATACCTATATATATATATATACCTATAGAATTAGGTTCAAGTGAGAAAATGATCTTAGAAGAGAAATGATAATGAATCTAAACCGTTAGATTATATTTTGTGAAATTGAATATGCATTAAGTGAAACTAAAATGTGCATTGGGTGAAATCAAAATGTGCAGCACAAAAAGTAAGGCACAATGATATTATGTGAAGCTGAATTGTGCATTAGATCAAACTGAAATGTGCACTAGGTGAAACTAAAATGTGCAGAATCAAAATTACAATGCGGTGACATTTTTGTGTCTTTTATTCTGCACATTTCAATTTCACATAATGCACATTTGAGTTTAACTTTTCATTCTGCACATTTCAATTTTACTTAATGCACATTTCAGTTTTACCATATGCACAATTCAATTTTATATAATACAATCCGACGGTCCAGATTCATTCTCATTTCTCTCCTAAGAGCCCTTTCTCACTGAAACCACTACCTATACACATATATATATATATATATATATATATATATATATATATATATATATATATATATATATGTGTGTGTGTGTGTGTGTGTGTGTGTGTGCGTGTGTGTGTGTATGTATGTATGTATGTATGTATGTATGTATGTATGTATGTCTATGGGGGGATCATGTGCAAATTGTGCCCATTTGTACGATGCATTTTTATATTATTTGTATTGCATATTAAGGTTCAAAGTGTTGCATATTATTCAAGGCATAAAATAGCAGTTGCATATTATAGCCTTTAGATCAACTCATCGGATGGTCTGTGTGTGTGTTTGTGCGTATGTGTGTATGTAGTGATTCTAGTGAGAAAGGACTCCTAGGAGAGAAATGTGAATGAATCTCGACTGTCGGATTGTATTATGGAAAATTGAATTGTGCATATGGTAGAATTGAAATGTGCATTAAGTGAAATTAAAATGTGCATAATGCACAATTAATTAAACTCAAATGTGCATTATGTGAATGAAATGTGCAGAATAAAAGGCACACAAATGTTACCACATTGTAGTTTTGTTCTGTGCATTTCAGTTTCACCTAGTACACATTTCAATTTTCTCTAATGCACAATTTAGCTTCACATAATATCATTGTGCCTTACTTTTTGTGCTGCACATTTCGATTTCAACTAATGCACATTCCAATTTAACTTAATGCACATTCAATTTCACAAAATACAATCCAACGGTCCAGATTTATTCACATTTCTCTTCTAAGATCATTTTCTCACTTGAACCTAATTATATACAAAGTATATATTACTCCGTCATAAAAAATTTGATCAAATTTGACTTGTTCTTAGAATAATAACATAAATATTGTGTTATTGAGATTCGTATAGAAAGAAAAATAATTTTAAACTCATATTTATTATTTTAAAATGGCTAAATAAAGAAGAATATGACATGTTTTTAAAACGGCTAAATAAAGAAATTTGAAAAAGTTTTAAATGACGGAGGGGGTGCTTTTAAAAATTTATTTAAATAGAGTAAAAATTATGGATACAAATATGATTAATAATTACTACTCTCTCCGTCCCAAATTGATGGTATTATACTTGTTGGGCTCAATTAATAAGAAACAGTGGTAGAAGAACCCATAAAACCTTAATTTATTGTATTGTTCAATCCTTTACTATTACTGTCCATTATAAAGGAGAGATATAAATGATAATCTATTTTAATTTCTTTACCAAAAAAGGAAAGATGACTATCATTCTGGGACACTCCAAATAGGAAATACAGGACCATCAATTTGGGACGGAGGTAGTATAACGTAATTTCATGGTCCTTAATTTCATGACTCTTAAAACTGTAATGTTTGAGTGCAGGTGCTGAAGTACTTCTGGTGCTCTAGTTTACTCCTAGAAAAAGTTTTTTAGAAACCGGAGAGATCAGCTTTTGAAAACTTATTTTGATTCTGATTTTTCTTTAAAAAAGAAGCAGAAGTAGAATCATTTCCAAACACCACTTACTACTTTATGAAATCATAAAGTTCTTTATGAATAACTTTTGATTTTTTTCACAAATATGTAAGTACGGAGTATATCATTATATATTCATACAAGACATGCATAACCATCCCCATTTTAATTTTTGCATTATTGAATGATCTTAATATATACCTGAACTCCAAAAACTCTATTAATTAAATATAAATGTAGAGGGTAAATAATTAACGAACTTTGATAATTTTTCAAAAATATTACTAAAATGTACCTTAAAAAAATATTAGTGAAATAGAACTTATATTTTGACTAAAATTAATATGAGTAAGTCTCATGGTCAGTTTAATGTAAAAAATGAAAATGAGTACTCCCTCCGTCCCATATTTATCTTCGTAGTTCGGTTAACGATGTTTGACTGACGATAAAACAACTTGATCCCTGTTCACACTCAGATTATTTTTAGTAAATTAAATTTACATATTCAGAAACTACATTAAATCCGCTACAAAGTCTGATCAAGAAAATTTAAGTTTGATTAAAATTTGATATATAAAGTAAAGGATTAAGAATAATTTGAGTTGACCATATGAATAGTAACTATGAAGATAAATATGGAACGAAGGGAGTACTATTTATTGATTTATTATTATATTCACTACACTTAAGAGTTAAAACTGATGTCACATTTTTATAAACAATTTTTTTTTAATAAAAAATATATAATTATTTCATTTTTTAATGCATCATTTCACGGGACCAGAAGGCAACCAAGATTTCCTAGTATCTTCTCCAAACGTAACTATGCAATCTTATTTATAGTGACATGTTTTCTAAAATATAATTTACCCAATTCATAATCTAAATAGGTACTAAATCCAAGACCAAGTTGTAGAGTTGTTATTAGGAGGCTGCATTGTTCTCTCAAAGCTCTTTAACTATGAGTAGGCTAGATGGAATTCTAGCCTAGTCATAATTACTCATTTACTCCAAAACACTATTTAAATAGTTTTTTTTTCCAAAGAAATTGGTCATCATAATATCACAAGATAATCATGCATGCATAACTAATCTCAAATAGGGATGGACTCGGGTCCGGGCCGGGTCCGGGCCGGGCCTAGGCCCGGGTCCGGGCCGGGTCCGGGCCGGGTCCGGGCCGGCGGGTCAGAAATGGTGGACCCGGGACCGGCCCGGATAACCACCGGGTCCGGTCCGGGTCCGGGCCGGGCCCATTATATTTTTTTTTTTGTTTTCCTCTTCCTAATTAACCCCCTCCCACCCCCAACCCCCCAAACCACCCCAAATGGCCCAAAATACCCAGCCCAACCCGAAAATTTAAAAAAAATTGAAAAAAAGAAAAAAAAAATATTTTTTGGCCCGAACCGGGCCCGGGCGGGTCGGGCCTTGTTGGGTGACCCGAGCCCGGACCGGAAAACCCACGGGCCGGGCCACCGGGTCGGGCCGGGCGGAACAGTACCGGTCCTGGGCCGGTTCCGAGTCGGGCCACCCGGCCCGAGTCCATCCCTAATCTCAAATAACTAACATATCATTGCCAATTCTCTTCATACCAATATACATATACAAATTTCAAATTTGGAATTTAGTACACCAAACTCCTTTGAGATATATAAATTTAGTGTACTAATGACTAATCTATGTGATTTTTGAAAAATGCGTCAAACTCTTTATGCTATAGATTTAACAATTTGAAAATCACGTCTCTTAATATTATAATTAAATATGCAAGTAATTTTGTCAAATCTCTAAATTATGCAAAAATACCAATCATTTTCCAGTTATTTTGACGGAGGGGATTTTACGCATGAATATTTATAACATAGCGGCGTGCAATATATTTTTTAAATCACGTGAGGTTAATGTGTCCAATTTATATATCACATGCAGTTTGGTACATTAAACCTTCTAAATTTTTGTCATGATTAAATCAAGACAATTTTAAGAATAGTGTTCTGGAATTTGTCAAAAAAATGTTCGGAAAATATATCTATAAAACAACAACATTAATGCTCCAACTTTCATTAGATAAAGGGTGACCGTTATTTCAGGCACAAATGCTAAAGGTACCCCAAAATATACCCCATTTTTACCCCCACCCCCTAATGTGTGGCCATAAATGAGGCAATTCATTTAAGTGGGGCACCACTTAAATGAATTGGCTCATTTATGACCACAAATTAGAGGTTGGGGTAAAAATGAGGTACATTTTGGGGTACTCCTAGCAAAACTCTATTTCAGGATATAAAGACGTTCGCTAAAATTACATTTGGGAACGGAGTTTTATAATAATAAATTAATTATTGAACTAGTATTCGGGTTGCTACAAGCAATAAAATAAAAGTATAGATCTCATATAAATACGCATCTATTTTTGCCATTGATTACATACGAGGTCGCATTTGCAAAACTTTACAATCTCAAACCTCTGCCGGATGTGTCACAGAAACAACAATGTTAATGATGACCGAGACAAATGAATGAGCTTGCTTCTGCGGACAGAGACAAACGACTATATATACTCGGTAGCTAATATGAATGTACACCCCTACACAGATAGCAGTCGATGGGCATCACTTGATTGTAATGTAACGGTTTGTTCCATGTTTAGCCCAATAGTTCTTAAGATCAAGAGGAGTAGACAGATCGTGGCCGACAGCGGACATCCTCGTAAGCAATCTGCTAAACACACTCCCGCTCATCTTCCTGCCCGCGATCCGCCCGTGTCGCTTATGTGGCAGTGGTGGGAGTGGGTACTCTGACAGAGAAGTAGTGCAGCAAGACGACTGCCAGCCACCACTGCCCCACTTGTAGCACTGGTGGGGTACTCCTGTGCATGTGCAGACCGGGGTTGGCATTGTGGACTCGTTGAAACTGATCTGGTTTACGGTGAACCCACCCTGGTTCTGAGCATCCCATTCAGCTTTTGACCCGTCTGTGGTGACATGCCTATTCAAATCCTCACCAACCCTTTTTGCCGTTTTCGGTGAGCTACTCTTAGATTGTTTCCTTTGTTTGATGGATTCGGATGAGATGGAGGATATGGGGACTGCATCAGTCACGTGGGGCGTGTTTTGGCACTTTGCCCCACACATTCTGTAGCTAAATCCAGCGCTGGTGTGGTTGTCTTGCTGAAATTGGAGGGCCGCGATCGCATTGTCACGTTCTCTTAAAGCATTGTCTCTCTCGGCAAAGGCTGCATCTCGTTGACGGGTGACGATGTCTCGCTCTTCTATAGCTGCTTTCTTTTCGGCAAGAGCTCTGTCTCGCTCTTCAATGGCTGCATCCCTTTCAGCAAAGAAGAGCTTCATGTTCATAAGAAAAGCATTCTGCTCCTTCATCTGATGATGCTGAGAAACCATGCTCCACTGAGACATGAAAGTAATAAGTGACAAAAGACCTACTCAGTGTATTTAGAGAAGGAGATTTAAGACATGTTCATTTGGACCTGAGCTGGTCTAAGACAAGTTTGTCTTGTTTGATCTGTTTAAGTCTAGTTTAGACATATATGATCAGTTAAGGTTTAATGTTACGTGTATTTTATTATTTTATTAATGTTACGTGTATTTTATTTTATTATCTGCTTTTTCAGGTCTAGTCTGTTTGTCTAGTCTTGAATTGAAATCAATTATGGTCTGTTTCTCTAATGCTATGGACTCAATTTGGTCCTAGACTATATCAAATTGGGGCCAAATTTTGTACCCAATGTACTATAATGCCTTTCTAAATTGCAATGAAATATGCATGAAAACTAAAATTCAGTCTAAATTGTAAATTGCAAACTCAATGACCAAATTCAGTAATAGATGATGAAAAGCCTTGACCATTAATTCTTAAGGAGAAGAATACAAATGGACATGGACTTGTCTTAATAGTCCAGCAGATTACCTGTGGATGACCACCTCCTCTGTAGCAATTCATCCTGTCTAGCATGTTTTCTCTATCACAATCATCCATATTGATGCAAGTAATTCTGGAGCAAGTATTCCTATTAGGTGGTCTATACCTGGTAAGAACTTGATTATATGCCCAGGAATCACTCTGCGTTTGGAAAAAGGTGCAAGTGTTCAATTAGAGAACTTGGGAGCAGCGGAGCACACAAAAAATGCCTCGCAATAGCGCGTAGGCCTAATAAATAAAACTGTTGTACTCAATAAAAATTCACAGAACATATTTAAGTATGTAAAAATCAATAAAGTCAACTAAAAATGTTCATAATAACTATGACTTGGCAACTAAACAATCTATGATTGCATGACAGAATTTTAAATTTATTAAAATAATCGCATGTTTAAGTCAATTTTCAGCACATAAAGGCAAGGAACAACCAGCAGTGGAGCAGAAAAAAGGGGTCGACGTAAGCTCACAGTTGAGTAGAAGGAAGTTGAATTCAGAAAGCAATTGAGTAGATAGCAAACAAATAAAGGTTTAGAGTTTTACATGGGTTATGTTATTTACTTATTTTAAAACCATAAGCAAGAGCATATTAATTAACTTTTTATAATAAAGAAAAAAAATGTCTTATTATGATCAACTACGTAAGAATAGCAAATTATTTCATATAAAATGGTCAATACTTCCATGACATTATAGGTGTAAGCAGTGTCGTATCCAGGAATTTATGTGAGTCGGGACGAAATCACATTAATTATCTCACACACCCCATAGACAATGACCACATAAAAATAGTGTAAAATCAATTATAAATAGAAAAAATTAGATATTTATGATTAAAATAAATATTGTTTACAAAAATGTGACTAGTGACTAAAATAGAATTGAAATCATAGTAACTTATGTTCAATTTTTAAACTTAAGTTACCATGACACTAAGTCGTAGTAACTATTAGTCATATTTTTGTAAATTGGTTTTATTTTAATAAAAATTTTTAGAAACCCCCTTATAAATAACAAAATGTTCGGGGGACAAAAATTTTACGATATCATAATTAAAAAATTTAGGACACATACTATTTAACTTTGTTGAAAACAAATTTTAATCACGCAATTTATAATTTATTCAAAATTATGTTTGGGGAAAATAATTTATATGCCCCAAACTTTGAAGGGGTGTGATATAAACACCTAAACTTGCACATGTAATCTATATACCCCAAACTTTATATAAAAAATTATATTTGTACCATGATCATTTTTTTCACAAATTTAATTTATGGTATTAAGTACATAACTTAAAATACACAAAATATTATGAGGATGCAATTAAAATTAAATTAAAACAAATGTATTGTTATTTATTTCATAAAATGAAATTTAAGAATATTAATTACATTCTAACAAAGCTTAGACCATTTTAAATTATGTAATTATTTCAAGCAATTTGTATTTGTACAAAAACGTACATTAATTGTCCGAGAATAACTTTTTATATAAAGTTCGGGGTATATATATTACATATGCAAGTTTGGGGTACTCATCTCACACCCCATTAAAGTTTGGGGTATTTAAATTATTTTCCCCAATTATGTTTACAATAAGAATCAAATAAGGAATGAATCAATATTTATAATTAATTTAAATAAGTTACAAATTCACATGTATTCTAAAAATCAGCACTCCATATATATATTAAGTGTAACAATGTAACTGTTAAACTTCACAAATTATGTAGGTAAAATTATATTGTAATTACATTGAAGTAGTTTAAACAAGCCAAAATTTGAGTAGAATTATATACTCACTTTTAAATCAGTTTAGAGTTAAAAAAAAAGTCAAACAAAAAAAAGATATACGGAGTAAAAGAAAGTAGGCAAACTGAGATTCGAACGCTGAACCCTGCCTACCAGACTACTATCCACGTTAAAGCCCACTCCACTATGCTGCCGAATCCTTTTGTTACAACACTCCTTAATAATGTATACGATCTTCTATTTAATACATATCTACATGTATATTTTTTATTTGATATATGTATATATAGGGGTTGGGTGGGGGTTGAGTGGGGGCAGCTGCCCCCCCCCCCCCCGCCCCCACGCTGGATCCGCCCCTGGGCGGTAGTCTCATAGGCCATACCCATCATGCCTCACCTGGTTGAGGTGCAAACTTTCTGCATAGCAAGGAAAAGTAAAAGCCTTGACAGTTGACACTTGAGAGTTAATGCTATTCTCTAAAGTCCCCCCTTGAATTGAACCTCAAGGTGCAAGAATAGCATTTTTTAAAAACATGTATATAATAAAAACAAAAATATGGTAAATGTGTTTCCCCAGACTAGTTAATAGTGATTGTAGATGATAATAACAAAGAATTTAGCTTTCTGTCACCCGGTAATTGTGCATTGTAAGGCTTCATTAGTATAAGGAACTGGAGATGACTATTTACTTTTTAGAACATGACTAACGTCCATTACTCCGAATATGAGAAGTATGAAATGTGCACTTTGCGGTTGGCTAAATAGCCCCCCCCCCCCCCCCCCCCCAAGCAACCAGAGTTCAAATACCGCTACAGGAACCAGGACCTGTAAGCCGATTAAGGCCTGTAGTGGCTCTTCCATAATGTGATGCTGTTAGGGTCAACTCACCACCTTCAATGCATGATTCAACTTATCTAGACCTATTGGTGCATTACTAAGAACTACGTAGTACAATATATTGCAGGTTTAGTGTGCATTTCTTTATGAAAATTACAAAATGCATGTGGACAAACAAATGCTGGATAGGCGCATCTATCACAAGGACACTTTCATCTAGTCAACACCTAGATGACACCATGATAATATGTTGTGTTCTTTTACCTATTGACTCCAATTCCAAAAACCATGTTGGCATGTTGCATGGTAAGTCATATGAGATTGTAATAACTGGATTAGTCTAATTGCTTTGTGAGTATTTATCAATGATTTTCTCTGTCTGCAAAGGATAATTTGCCTTTCCCAAATGATTGCCACACAGGCAGTGCAAGTCACCGCTCATTACCAATCTAACTTGAAATAATTATAGCCTAACAATGTTATTTGATCCACTTCTCAAGAGTTGTTACATAATACTCCCTCTTGTTTTATTTTCTTTATTTTTGTGCCCGTTTGGTGACACTAAAATTGGTTGAATCTGCTGAATCTACTTAAATTGTGGCCGAATCGGGTGAATCAGTTGAAACTGCTGAATTATGAAGTAATTATAGGTAATATCTATTTCATTATTAAAATAAGGAGACAAATATATATATATATATATATAGTTGGAGTCTTCTTAATTGAATTCATTGAGAAAAGTAATTTTAGCCTTATTATGATTATTACACAATTCAGTGCATAAAATTAAAGTTTAGAGTTTAGCATAAAAAGTTAAAAACTGGCAACTAAGCCAATAAAAAATGTAACCAAAAGGGTTCTTTATCTTTGGCAATTATATACTTCGTACATACAAGGTACAAAACATTTTTTTAAAATCTTTTACATACTTTTTCATTACTTATCCTCTTTTTTTACTTTTTTTACATATCATTCATTGATCTTATTATATTCTTGAACTCCAAAAAAGTCCACTGAATCAAGAGTAAACAGTTAGACTATAAATAATTAACAGAACTTTTTTGCATCGCCTCATCAGTAGCAAGAGCATATTGGAAAAAAGATTACTGATTTATTCTCCAAATTTAATTATGCAACTTTATTTAAAACATAAAAGTAACATGATTGTCCTAAGAATTGATTGACTCATCAACTGACCAAATCCACAACCTAAATGGGTGCTAAATCCAACACCAGCTAGTCCTCACGCGGGTATAAGCTAAACATCTCATAGTGTAAATAAGCTTTTCGATCGTCCACTCATCATTACTTCTAATCGCTGCCTTAACTACATTTTTTCTTCAAACAAACAAACATTCATGGCACCATGGGACAAGCATGTCTGCATAAAAGAGAATCTAAAACAAATAGCTTAACTAACACAGCATTACTGATTCACTTCCAACCAATCTACATATCCAAAGTTTCCACTATGTGATTAAATCACGACAACTTAAGAATCACTGGAGTGTTGTCTAGGGTTTAGGGTGAAATTCTTTATGAAAAGTACGAAATACATGTGGATAAACAAATGCCGGATATATGCTAGTTCTACATTGCCAGTCAAATGAGAATGGCACATCTCCATCGCTAGGACGCTTGAGCCTAGGTGACACCTTAATAAATATGATATGTTCTATAACCAATGTTCTAAAAGGTGATAGGTGGGCGCTAGGCGGGGACTAATCGGAGACATAGAAATTGTAGTTTTATCAATATTTTTGCATGAATATGATTAGTAATGTTGTGTTTGTGTGTATATAAAATATATATATATACACACATATACCAACACACTGGAAGGTTTCTTCATATGTCTTGTTAAAGTTAAAGTGTGTATATCTCATAGGATACTAAAATAAAAAAAGCTAAAAATGTTCGATGAATCTAGACACCTAGGCAGCCGATAAAGCGCTCTGGGTTGGCAAACAGGCACCCTACGCTACGCGGCTGACTAATTCACCTAGGCGCCAAATCAATTAGTCGGAGCGCCTAGACTAAAATCGGGACACCCGGTCACCGCCTAGCGCCTAGGCGGGGATTAGTCGGGTGCCTAGAACGATTTTTAGAACAATGCCTATAACTATCAAGTCCAAATCAAAAAAGCAGGTTATGTGCTAAGTACAAGGCAATTTTAGTAACTGGATTAGTCTGATTGTTTTCTGAACTGAGTAACTTGTCAATAGTTTGACGTGAAAGTTTGATATAAAAATTGGGTCATTATGGGATTAAAAAAGGCCACAGGGATTTCAATCTAGTTAAACATTAGTTTAAGATTTAATGATTTAAACACATTGTAAAACTACAAATCCTTACAGAACATCTTTGTGTGGAGATGGGAGGAAGATGATGTCTATCTAGAACCAAATGACGGAGTTAAAATTTCTTAGGTGATGGGATACTCTCTACTCTTTAGATGTGTAATGAATGTGCGAGTTATGGTGGATTATATTTTTGCATTTATATAAAAAATAAGAAAAAGTTCTTAGAATATGGAAGCATATATTTTTATAAAGATACTACTAATTCAGGACTAAAAAAATCTAGAATCATACGGAGTAATTGCTACTCTACTTTTTGCCCTAGTAACGATTTAAATACTTAGCTCACTGCTTAAAAATGCCTCCTTATCAAGTTAACCTTTCAACCATTAGACTATCTGATCATAATAGGATCTAGTCAACTCCAAAATCATTTCATACCCAATATAGTGTTAGCAGTTATCACTTATCAATAGAGCTCATGTTACGAGAAAACACAACTAATATAAGTCTAGCTGTTCTGTGTCCTAAATTTACCTTCAGAGTCCTTGGTTCTTATGCTTGCAGACAAAAACTCACCGCTCGTTAGTAGAGATGTACACATATATTGAATAAATCAAACACACAGAATATGAGGGAGATATCCCTCGATAGAAATTGAGAGAGAGTCTTTGAGCACTCAAAGGGCACGAGGCAGTACAGCAATGCGATTTTCCAGAGAAGTAAACTGTACCGCCAAAAACTTATAGTGGTACTCGTGAGCTGTAATAAAAACAAATGGCAACCACCGCAAGTTGGGAACAGCTTACCGGGGCACTACTGTGAGGAAGGAGGTCGGAGAGAAGCAGAATCTGCAGGAAAAGTGGAAGAAACCCTTGGAAAAAAAAGCTGCTTCGAGTGAATCGCGCGAGCTTTTGTCGCCACCACTCTTGTGCACTTGTCCGGCCGGTAAGGACTGAATTAAATTAAATCAGTTTTTCCTAAAATATACTCCTCATTCCATAAATTTTTACTTCGAACTGAAATTCGTTAGTATGATATGCTCTCTTTAATTTGATCTAGTCTGAACTAGTCTGGGCTGGTTTTATAAATTTTTGATCTGTGTGTATTTTAAAACTACGGAAGTCTGGTCTTGTCTGATTTGACCTGCTTAAGTCTAGTCTGAAATTATGTAAGTCTCATCTGATCTGGTCTGGGATTGAAAATAGCCCAAATAAAAACATTCTAAATTTGATTTGTTACAAAATACGAAGTAAGTACTTTAACAACATTGTGGAGAGGAAAATAACATTAATCACATATTTGCTACCTCCGTCCCACTAATATTGGGACGAGAAAAGGTGACACGATTATTAAGAAAAGTGAGTTTGTGTGGTTGATATTAAATTGATAAAGTAAGAATAAAGTAAGAATGGTTTAGAGCCACACAATCTTTACCAAATTGGATATGAGACAAATTTAGTAGGACTTTCCAAAAAGGTAAAATGAGACAATTTTAACGGAACGGAGTAAGTACTTTAAATGAAAATAGCAAAGTTTTTTTGGAACGGTCAATAAAGAAAATTTGGCCAAACAAGAATAGATGTACTCTCACTTTATGGGACAAACTGCAGACTTACAAATAGAATAGGTGTTCTTGATATAAATTTGGTCTGATCTGTTTAAGTCTAATCTGATCCGGTCTAGTTTGATCTCATAAATGTTTGATCTCTATGTATTTGTAATAATTCAAGTCAGATTTAGTTTGATTTGATCTGTGTAAGTATGGTCTGATTTGGTCAGGGACTGAAAACAATCTAAAAGAAACCATATGAAAACACTCTTGGTCACACGACTATTGTTGCCGGCCTCAGCCACCATGCTAAACCCCAGCATATGAGGATATTCTTGCCCATACATGTTACTCTGATTTAGGGAAATTTAAACATGAAGTCCTAGGTTTACAATTCCCTTATATATTACTCTTATTTTAGGCAATTTCTTAATATTATTCAAATAAACTCAATAGGAAAATGTGACTAAAATTACTGCACTAATTTCACGGTCACTGCAATAGTACAATGTATATAATTATACATAATCATAGTAACTGAAAGTCACTAATATAGTAATTTTGTGTGAGAGCTCACATTTTTGTCCAATACCTTAATTTTGGTAAAGAAAAGTGGAGACTAATAATATCTTTTAGCAACAATTTTACAATAGTCTCTCACTTAACCTCAATTTATTCATAATCTAACATTTGCACCCCACCTTCTTTCATCGGTCCATGATCGGTTGATGACCTAATATTTCATGTTTTTTTTTTCTTTGCAAAACATTAAATCGTAGTCTCACCTTTCATAAGTCATCTCAAAACGATTTCACACATCAATTTTTCTTTTTTTCTCCATAAAAGTTGTCTCTTTTTATTTTTATCCTCTTGACTCTTTTATTTACTTTTTTGACTTCTTATTCTTATATTTATTTCTTTTCCATTTTATGAATTCCATTGTTTCCTTATTTTTCTTGTTCCAGTTTATTGTTTCATTTTCATTTTATGTATTTTTCGGATTAGTTCCCTTCTTTTACAAGATGTTTTTCTCACGTTACTAATTTTTACTTTACTTTCGTTTGACTTTCACTTATTTATTTTCTTTTTACTTTTCTTACTTCGATTCCATCACTAATATATACTTTTTCTTTTATGAAAACTCAAATACAAAACTTAACGAATAGCCGCGGAAAATTACAAAAAGAGACTACAACAAATATGAATACATAAAAAGGAAAGAAAATAAAAATAGAGGAAAAGAAAAGAATATCTATCAAAATAAATTTCTATAGAAAAACTCTTATGGTAAATGGACAAAGGAATACATAAACAAGGTAAATAAATGAAACTAGAAAAGAAGAAAAATGAATAAAAACATTATGATGATAAATAAAAAGAGAGAGAACTTTTAGGAAGAAAATAACAATTGTGGGACCTTCTTGAAAAGGTTTGTAGAAGGTGAGATATATGGTGTAATGATTTTTGCAAAGCAAAGAGAAAACTCTGCTATAGCAGATCATTAATTGGTGATGGACCAGCGAAAGAAGCTGAGGTGCAAAGATGTAATTATTATGAGATTATGGTTAGGTTGGACTATTCCAGTAAAACCGGTAAAATGTGAGATTATTAATTTTCATTTTCTCTTTTGGTAATATAAATGTAATTATGGATGTGGGCCCTTTTTATATATACTTCCAACCCACAAAACTTGGTCAAATTTGACATGTACGTTAAATAATAAAGTAAAATTTATGCGATTGAGATTTATGTAGGAGAGAGAAAATTTTAATAACATATTTATTTCTTTAAATAGAAGTGTCAATTTTTTGTGATAATTAAATACAAAATTGTGACAAATTTCTGCGACTCCAATATGTAATGGAAAAGTGTGAGTTGCATTAACTTGTGGGTAGTGGAGTAAATATTATTACCTCTAAAGGTTCCCATAACAAAACGACATGGTTATTTAGACAATAATTAAATAAGGTAATTCGAGAATATTTTGAGAAATAGTTTTAAGAGGTATATTACATAATGGTATTAAGTTGATAAGTATGATGTTATAAATATATTATTTTCAATACTTAATGATTAAGTTATCATTTAAAATTGTGGATTGTTTCCTAAAATAGAAATGAGAATTTTTATATGGGAAGTGCGAAAAGGGAAAGTGAGAACCTTTATATGGGACGAAAAGAATACACTACATTGCATATGATATTTTGAGGGGCATTGATAGATTATATTCTAGAGAGAAGTGAGAGCTAGAGAGAGAAGTGCAAGTAAATGCTTCAATAAATGATTTTCCAACCCCTACAACTACCTCCAGAGGAAGTATTTATAGGAAAAATACGGGCTGGGCTCCCAAGCCTTGGGCTTGGGAGGCCCATTTACAACTGGACCGCTATTGGGCCGAATACAAAGTAAATGATGGAGTATACAAATGAGTAAGTGTAAAATCCGGTTTTGGGAGTTCTTTGTGGCCGACGAGGGTCTGGGCGATGAGTGCATGGCCGACGAAGACCCGGTCGACGAGGTCACTCGGTTCTTCTGGCTTCCGGATCATGTCCTGGGTTGACTTCATCGTTCCGGCTGATGAGGGTCACCTGGTCGATGAGGGTCCCATTGGGTGACAGCTGTGCCTTCTGTTCTCCTGAGTATGTGGGTCCTGGGGCCTAGACCCATATACTCCATCAGGAGTTCCCCACTCTCTAAGCTGAGATGTAGACGAAGTGAAGGAGAGTAGATTCATGTTCTTTTATGCTTGGCCGTTGCGTGTCCCCTGCTGTGGACGGGAGAGATCCTAGCCATGCGGATGGTACATGTTCCTTGCTCTCTAGGACGATGAATACCCTTGCTTGATGGGGGTGGTGAAGGTTCGCAGTTGTGAATGGCCGATATGTGTCTTTGGCATGAGTCGATGAGGACATTCTTACCTTATCACGATCTTCGGTGGCTGAATTTTGTTTTTGGGTCGAGGAGGTCACTGCGGTTGCGTCTTGCTTGAGGACGATGAGCGTCCTTTGCCTTGAGTGGTCATTGAGGGCGCTGTTCACTCCTTCTGGCCGTTGTTGATTGAATTTCGTACTTTTGGCCGAGGAGGCCATTGTGGCTATCTCTTGTTGGAGGGCGATGAACGTCCTTTGTCTTGAGTGGCCGTTGAGGGCGCTGTTCACTCCTTCTGGCCGTCGTTGATCACTTACCGTGCCCTTAGCCGAGGCGGTGTGTGGTGGTTAGTTGTGCTTGGTAGCGACGAAGGATGCTAACTTGATTGTTCTAGCTCTCAATGAAAGCACCAAATGATAGATTATATTCTAGAGAGATGTGAGAGCTAGAGAGAGAAGTGCAAGTAAATGCTTCAATAAATGATTTTCCAACCCCTACAACTACCTCCAGAGGAAGTATTTATAGGAAAAATACGGGTTGGGCTCCCAAGCCTTGGGTTTGGGAGGCCCATTTACAACTAGACCGTTATTGGGCCGAATACAAAGTAAATGATGGAGTATACAAATGAGTAAGTGTAAAATCCGGTTCTGGGAGTTCTTTGTGGCCGACGAGAGTCTGGCCGATGAGTGCATGGCCGACGAAGACCCGGCCGACGAGATCACCCGGTTCTTCTGACTTCCGGATCATGTCCTGGGTTGACTTCGTCGTTCCGGCCGATGAGGGTCACCTGGCCGATGAGGGTCCCATTGGGTGACAGTTGTGTCTTTTGTTCTCCTGAGTATGTGGGTCCTAGGGCCTAGGGCCCATATACTACATCAGGCATAAAGTCGCCCTTTTAGCATTAATTGAATACATCGTTTAAGCTAAAACGTTGAAATGACGGACTTGACTAACAACATATTGATTTGGCAAAACAAACGTTGATGTGGTAGTAAACGAATTATGTGAGCATAAACTCGTCTTTTTAGCATTAATTGAATACATCAGTCCTCCCCCCTCCTCCTCCTCTAGTAACCCTGGAAACTGCTAGTAACCCTGGAAACCGCTGGTAACCCTACACGATAATCTTGTTTCTCCTTGACAGCGCGTCGCCGCGTAAGCAGGAGATCTTGTCTCCGAGCATTCTCTATTTACCGTCGCTTCACTCACTCCCGTCACCCCATTGAACGAAGATGCCTCGTCCAACTATTCTTCGACATAAGTGGGGGATTCATCGAAAAAAGCCATATTTATTGGTGAGAAGAAGTTTTTCTTTGCATCCATCTCCGAAGACTACTACTCCGGGTGACTCTCTGCCTCATTAAATGAAAAAAAGAACGGATTTATAATGAATGGTTAGGGTTTGTAAACTATCGATGTGCAGTAAACGAATGATGTGGCGTTAATTTTGCCTATTAATGTACTCAACTGACATTTTTCTCAACCCGTAACCAAAGGGGCACTCATATTGGGCATACAAGATGCTCTTCCATGTACAAAACAATCTTTTGTTCACACACAGGGACGCGGGAGGAAATTTTAAAAACACGGGGGTTTTATGAATGTCATTCCAAAAAACCGGACTTTGCTCCCTTGGATGAATTTACGGGATTCGGAAACACAAGGGCTAAGGCTAATTTAAAATCTCATTTTTCTATTAAGTGATGTAACTTTTTTGTTTGTACTTCGATTTTTACAAAAATTATATTAAAATTCATAACTTTTTATGATTGTTCCAACGACACTAATATTCGATATATAAAGTTTTTTTAATTGAAATTTCAATATATAGTATGACGTTTTCAGAAAATTTTTCTTAGATAGATCCGAATGATAAAATTATAACATTTTTTAAAAATAATTGAAACATGTAAAAAGTTATGTGAACAATGAGATCTTAAAACTTCTACTATTTAAGAAAAAAATTGGGTCTGAAAACTGTTGGAAAATTGTGTTAAAATTGCATTAAATGGTCTTTTTGGGGCAATTATTTGAGTGGGGTCCACTTCCGATTTGGGTCAGGTCAAAGTGGTTTCGGATTGTCCTTGTTAAGGGCTACAATTCGATATATGGTACACTCAAAACGGATAACGGGTGAATGAGAAATTGATTCTCGAAGTTCACTCGTTGAAATGGAAAAACTGGGAAAATGGTGAGTTTCTAGTGTGTTTTATCCCACACCGAAAAACTCAAGGGATTTTCACCCACAACCACAAGTACCTTTTCGGTACTTTTCCCAAAAAACAAATGCTACTTTGATATAAAAATGGACAAACATAATGATTTTTTTACATTACAAAACGAAACGAATGAAATAACTGATCATATAAATGCTTTTACTCTATTGGAGGGGAAAATAAGAAATGAACTACATTATGTAATAATAAAATCGAATTTTTTATGCTACTCGTAGTTGTCTGGTGTGCATGCGTATCATTTTCTCTTTTGAGCCAATCACTAAATAGTAAATATTTTAAATTTATTACAATATGAGGACTTTCCTTAAAGATGTTGTACTATGCTATATCTCTGTTAGTTGGTTTTGAGTTTGAAGAATTCCTTTAATTGTTGGTTTTGAGTTTGAAGAATTCCTTTAATTGTGATATGAATGTAGTGATCTTTGTACTTATGACCTTTGCGTGTTTTGGGTGAAAGTAGCAGGGCTTTGCCCCTCGACTATGATGTACTACTAGTGTACTAGTCTACTACTACTTAACTTTGGTAGAAACTGTCATGTTAAAGCTGACAAACTTGGTAAATATTATTTATTTTTAGGGAATAAAAAGCATGACAGCCATACTTTGTCATTCAAAACTCTTTTACTACGATTCAGTAAATTTTCTCATATTCCATATATTAATAGAAAAATATTAGATGTACACAATTATTACACAAACTATACATGTCTAGACAAGCAATACGTTTGGAAAAAGACATAAATTTATATCAAAATATCCGTGTATACACGCAATGTACAATTTATGTGTACAATTTGTGTACACCCCATACTAATAACCTCACAAGGGCTCGAACCAAAAGCCCCCTAAATGCTTTGGGAGATCTTATTGGCATCACATATACTCCGTATAAATCACGTGTTTAGTCTTGTGAGTTGAGAACATCGTCCAGTTCAATCCCCAACCCTGCGATACCAATCCGTTTAATCGTTACGGACAGCAGCAAAGAAAGGAGAAAAAGATCAATCAAAAAGACCAGAGCTAGCAAGAGATCGACTATCTCAGATCCCAAACCACTCAAAAGATCTGAACAATGTCTTCGACCTTCAGCGGCGATGAAACTGCTCCATTCTTCGGTTTCCTCGGCGCCGCTGCCGCTTTGGTCTTCTCCTGTACGCGTCTTCCTGTCGCTCACCATTTTTCTACGCGCATATGAAGTTTTCTACGCTGCTCCGATACGCATATAATCTGGATCTGGATCGAATGATTTAATTAATTGATTCGTTTTGCAGGCATGGGGGCAGCTTACGGAACAGCTAAGAGTGGGGTAGGAGTGGCGTCGATGGGTGTGATGAGGCCGGAGCTGGTGATGAAATCAATCGTCCCGGTTGTTATGGCTGGTGTGCTAGGTATTTATGGCTTGATCATTGCTGTCATCATCAGCACCGGAATTAACCCTAAAACCAAATCCTATTACCTGTTCGATGGGTATGCTCACCTGTCTTCCGGTCTCGCTTGTGGCCTCGCTGGCCTATCTGCTGGAATGGCAATTGGAATTGTTGGAGATGCTGGTGTCAGGTTATTGTTTAATACATTCATCACTTATGCTGTCGTTTTTCTGCTCTCAATGCAACTGCCTAAAACTCTGAAACAAAATCAATGCAATTACTTCAATCTAGAATGTAACTTCCATAGTAATAGTCCTTATCTTGGATGTATTAACTTTGTTATTGAAGACATTGCAGATTTGAACATTTGGTACGAGTGTGCTTCTATGCCAGACCTAAAAAGTTGAATGTCAAAGATTAAGAGATACTTAAGAACATAATGATGAAAAAGAGTGAAAATTTGTATTAACAACCTGACGATCTTTTCTAAATATACATGAATATGGCAACTCTATTGTGTTATTCATGATAATCGGTATCATATACCTAGTATAACTTTTGTGTATGACTCTTTTTAGCATGTTTTTCTAATTACATTAAAAATTAACTTCATTAGATCAAAAATGATTCTTTTATTAGGATATGAATGCGTGGGAAAGAGGTTGTTTTTTGGCATTGCCGGTAAAAAGAGCAAATGTTTGGGTTTCCGGGTATAGTTGGATTCAGGAAGGTGTCCTCTTTTGTAGTATTTGACCATTGGGTTATATATGCATGCAATTTGTGATTATTTAGCGCTTACTAATCAAATCAAGCCTTACATACCGACCGTTAATGGCTCTATTTGCGCACGGTTTATCTTGCATTTACTTTCATAATTTTTTTCCTTCCATTACTTTGGCCTTCATGTCATACTGTCATCTAGCTAAGTTTTTCTTCTACATTAAGGGAGTGTTCGCAAACACTTATAAACGCGTTTTTTAGCTTCCGGCTAAAAATGGGAAGCATGTGAAGGGGTGCTTTAAACTGCTTTTCACGTTTTCTATTACACTAATACTACCTCCGTCCCTTAAAACTTTGCCAAAGTTGACCGGCACAAAGAGTAATAAAGTAAAAACTGTGTGGTTGAGGTTTGTGTAGAGGAGAGAGAAATAACATAAACCACAAAATAATTGATTAAAAGGGAAAGTTACAAAGTTTTTTGGGACGTCCCAAAAAGGAAAGATGGCAAAGTTTTAAGGGACGGACGGAGTAGCACTTATTTACCAAACAATACCAATTTTTACTTTTCAATAGCAATATTTACTCGAACACTACCAATTTTTTACTAGTAAGTACTTTCTCTTTAAAAAAATCACTTTTTAAAGTAAAACTAGATTCTCATCAAACTAATATTCGTTTGATGAGAATTACTTTTGAAATAGCAATGTTCCTAATTAATGGTTTTTTTTCTTAATTCCAATAAAATAAAATAAAATCGGATGTAATATGAGTTGGCAATCAAGCTTGCAAACACTCCCTAAGCTTCTTGCAATCTTAATGCATAAAACCTCAAGCAGTCAAGCTTGCCCTTCCCTTCTGATTTCTAGCTTGTTATTTCCCTTTTCCTGAATTTTTCTTCTCACCTTGACTTAGCACTTATTAAGAAAGCAAAACTATGTGCTTTAGATGTTTATCTAGAAAAGCTGAAAACAATATCAACCACATAATTCTTTTCTTAAAATGTTATGGAAAGAAATTTTCAGAACACCTGAATGCATTTCTGTTTTTGGAAGAATAGAGTATAGAGTAAATTAAATGCCCCTTGTAAGATGTTTATTTGATTTGAGTTTTTTATTATGTTAGTGTGAGGTAACCTCACATTTTAAGGATCCCTTTAAGATGAGTTAGACCAAACTTAATATTAAATTATAGACATTCACAACATTTTTTCATTTGCAGAGCTAATGCACAACAACCCAAGCTATTTGTTGGGATGATCCTTATTCTTATTTTTGCTGAAGCTTTGGCACTTTATGGTCTCATTGTTGGCATTATCTTGTCTTCTAGAGCTGGCCAGTCCAGAGCAGATTAAAAACAAAACTGTGGGTAACAACTTCTACTTTATTGTAAGTTGTGTGTTACACTTTGGAAGAAAAGAAAGACACAGTTTTCTTTAAAGTTCAGAAACTTCAGATGTTCCAGGGTGGTCTTCATTCTTTGACTCTCATTCCTTTTCCCTCGGTTATTTGTTTGTTTCCTTTTCTTATTTTGTGCTAATAACTTAATAAGTAGTTTGCTTGTACCGATAATTAGTATTATGTACTTAGTTTTGTGCTGAATAAGAGTTCTCCAATGTGTTCATCTCTAAATATTCCCCATTTGTGTGATGACTTTTAATGGTTGTGTGTTATTATAACGTGTTTGGTTAGGAGATCACTTATATGAATCTGGTTTTCATTCAAATTACTACCAGGTGACAAATAATTAGGGGATGTTTGGAACTGATTCTACTTCTGTTTCTTTTTTAAAGCAGAATCAGATTTCAGATTCTGGTCTCCCCAGCTTCTAAAAAACTGATTCTAGGAGTAAATTAGAACACCAGAAGTAGTTCTGCACTTTCACCTAAACACTCCAACTTCTTCTTCTGCTCTCTGTAGGAGCATTATCAGTTTTAAGAATCAGATCCAAACACCCCCTTAGTAGGTCAATTTGGTACTTTGAGCCCACGTTTACCTCAATATATGATTTAGCAAATTTAGCACGCTGTTTAATCATCTGTCATCTGTGAGACTGAGACTTTTGCACCCTGTAGCAATGGGTGCAACTTAAATATTATGTTTAATTCACTGGGTGCAAAGTCTAATGTTATCAATGTGCATTAGGATGCGCCTATGCGCTGTGTGAAGTCTCAGAAAATAAAATATGAGGTGCAATACTGCAATGCCAATTAGCGTTAAAGCAATACTAATACTAATGTATTACTATTAATTTGTGTACAAATCGTTCACTTGATTTCCTCTGAGCAATTGAAGTCTTTATCTTAATGGTCATTGTTCTGTACTCAGTATTGGCAATTGAACATTAATGATATGCATACTGTGTTCAAAGCCTCTAAAATGTGGGATGTGTACTTCAACAATACCTGAGAATTTTGAAAGTGTTTTATGTGAGAACAAGTAAGATTTCTAATTTATGTTCATTACAATCTCTCTATTAACTAAAAGATTATGATGGGGTGTTTTTATCTCATTGAATAAATGTTGGCACAATTTAAGATATTGAACATAGTATTTTCAACAACTTATTTTACATATCTTGTATAAGTTGTATTCTAACATGTTATTTTGTACTCCCTCGTCCCTCACATCTATTGGACTTTGCTAATTTTCCCTTATTGGTTGTCCCAAAACACTTTGCTACTTTTCTATTAAGGTCTTCTGTAATTAATTTGTGTTCCTTCACATTTCTCTCTCTACACAAATCACAATCGCTCGGTTTTTATTTTTCTTATTTCTCACATACTTTTTAACATGTTATTACTCATTTCTGAATTCAAAGCTTTTTCCTTTAAGTTTCTTATATCCGAACACCTAATACCAACGACTGAGATTCAAATGTTTGCATACTCATTACAAAAGTCATCAATAAATACAGGAAAAATAACAATAATAGTTTTTTATTGCATATTCTAACTTAAATATTCGTAGCTATCAATTATTTTAAAATAACCCCAACTAATGGGCCATGCTTTACTGATAACTTGTTGTTCAAATCAACAAAATTATACTATGTACATACCATTAATATTACGAATATACTCATAGACTCATAGTAATGTGACTGGACAGACTAAAAGTCAGAAGTAATCTATTTTTGTAACACTTGTAACAGAAAATCATTCATATTACGGAGTACATAATACATACTAGTACTAGTATAAGAAAGGGATGATCACTAAGGTTCAATCTCCAGCACCAGAAATACAAACGTAGTCTTATACTATTCTAACCGATCAACAACGCAACGCATTACCAGTTTGCCATTCCACTAATAGATGCTTTTCAGATTAGCCCATAGGAATGAGCTTCAGTTTTACTTTAAAAAAAAGATTACACCCAACCCGGAGGGCTAAGGGCTTTTCAGAACCGATCGAACAATTATATGAGAGAATGTAAATTGAGTTTTGATTTCATTCTGAAGAAAAGAAAGTGTAGTTTCATCACAAGGATGTCCGACTCACAAACAGAGGGATACCACACACTATTGATCGTCCAACCAAAAGGATGCCGACTCACACACGGAGGAAAGGCGTAAAGATAAGCCCAAACTACTGCTTTGAGGCTGTTGCCCCAACAAAACACAAGGAGATATCAAGTGTTGTGGTTCTTCATGACTTCACATAAATAAAAAGAAATAAATCCCGAATAAATCTTCTATACTTGGTTGCTTAGCTACACAAAACAGATATTAAAGGCATTTTTCAGTAAATATGTTACTCGAGACAATTACATTGTTTCTTTAAAAAAACTATAATCAAGCCTAGTGGGAAGGAACAGAGTTTTCAACAAATAATCAGCCAATTTTTGAAACACATGTTGCACTGGAACATAGCCAATAAAGACTCAAAAACTGGCACGCAAAGGGCCAAAACTTCTCCCTTCTTAGGACTAGACTGATAAATCTAGGTTTCAAAATCAAGCTAGTCATTAAAATCACACACTAGTCATAACTCATATTAATAAACATATTAATAAATATTGGGCTAAATCTAGGTTTCAAAATCAAGCTAGTCATTAAGGAAATATAAACATATTATATATGATAATGATATAATAATATTAATAAATATTGGGATTTGCCTACTAGTTCAAATAAACACTTTATCAGTACGTATAAACGGCGGAAATGAGTATTGGTTTTAGGGTATTTCACTATCTCGATCAGCATCACTTATAAAGTTCGTACGTATTTGTGTGTATATTTGTAATTGAAGAATTACAACTAATAACTTTATGTATTATTATGTGTATGTGTGTGTATGTGTGTATTAGTTTGTATATTTTTATTTGATGTATTATAACTAATCATGTTATGTATTATTGTGTGTGCGTACTAATAAGAAATTTTATACGGGTTCGGATCCTTAACGGGTCGGAATCATATGTACCAGTGTACCACACCCGACCCGTTTATTGAAAATACTAATGGTCCGGGTTCGGATCCGGGTACAACAACAACAACAACATCCAAGCCTTAGTCCCAATAAAAGGGATTAAAAATAAAGAACCTAAACCATGGATTACCTCGACACTTTCCAACACCATTTTAGAGCAAAATGCAACACAAGGAATACACTTTTATTCTTAAACTCTAATGATCTTCAAAATGTAATCAAAGGGAACATGAACTCATGCTCGACATGCAATATACTCCCCATGGACGACCACCTTATTAATAAAAAATTGGAATTTTATCAATTCAGGACCTGAAAGATAGATTAATTATCAATTCAGGACCAGAAAGATGAAACGTATCAATATAGGACCCGAATGATGGAAAACTATCAATTTAGGACCTAACGTTTCATACGTTTTGATTTATTTAATTTTTTATTAATTCCATTACTAATTTTTGGAACTTTTCTTCACAAAAGTTTATTAGTATAATAAAACAAAATAATATTTAAAATTTTTTAATAAAAAAAATTATGATAACTTAGGTCCTAGATTAATAGTTTTCAATCATTCAGGTCCTAAATTGATAGTTTTTCATCATTCGGGTCCTATATCGATGCATTTTATCTTTCAGATCCCGAATTGATAATTAATCTATCTTTCGGGTCCTGAATTGATAAAATTCCTAAAAAATTCCTTTATTAACACGCATATATAGGGAGAAATATGCAGGCATGTCACCATGTGAGACCTTTTATGAAGTACGCACCCTATTTCAATCGGTTCGTATACTGTGGGATCATCCTATAGTGAGCATCATGCTCCACCCTCAAAACGATGTAGTTTTGCACAATTTTTTTTAAAAATTCGCGTGAACAGTACACGCGTGAACAATAGCATGAATGATGTAACTCACGTGTAAAGAAATGTAACTCACGCTAATAAAAAAAGTAACTGCATGCAAATCTAAATGTAACTGGTCTAATACGGATTATAAGAAATAAAACATTGATTTCAATGAAAATAAGGAATCTAATTGCTCAAATAGTCAATATGTTTTGTTTTTTATATTAAGACCATAAATAATGTTTTTTTCTTCTTAAAATCATATATTTTGCCAAAAAATCATTTCGTTCACAATAAAAATCGTTTTTTTTTAAAAAAAAAGTGATTTTTTTGTTTAAATAGCAGGATATTATTTAAATAGTGATTATGTTATGTTTTTTATATCGAGGCCCTAAAAATATTTTTTAAAAGAACACTTTTTTGCCTAAGAAATCATTTTTTTGCAACTTTTTTGCATAAAACTGATTCTTTTGTTTGAATAGCAGGGCTTTATGATGTGATATAACTCATGTTATAGAAAATGTAACTCACGTTGATGGAAAATCTAACTTAGGTGCATGAAAAATGTAACTTGTTAAGGCAAGTCTAAATGTAACTCGAATATAAGAAGATGTAACTCACACATAAAAAGTTGTAACTCGCGAATAAGAAGATGTAAATCCATATACTATCAAATGTAAAGAATGAAAACAAGGAGTCTATTTGCTCAAATTAATTTATGTAAATAGTTAATATGTTTTGTTTTTAGTATTAAGGCCATAAAAATGTTTCAAAGAAAAATATTTTTTTTGCCCAAAAAAAAAAGTTTTTGCCAAAAAAATCATTTATGTTTGCAAAATGTAACTTGTTGAGGCAAAGTCCAAATGTAACTCGCGCATAGGAAGATGTAACTCACGCACAAGAAGATGTAATTCGTTCATAAGAAGATGTAACTCCATATACTATCAAATGTAATTCCAGAAATTGTCTGTAAACATAACTCAACATATGAAAAATGTAATATAATTTCACAAATTTAAATCGAAATAAACAAATTTAATGTCCTGAAAACACTAAAAACATATCAAAGTGATAAGATATTTTTGCAAAGAGATAAGAAATATATTATAGAAAAAAAATTATGAATATGAAATATAAAAAATATTACAAAAAATATATATTCTATTGTAATTTCTGTTGAAGATAAAAAAAAGTTGAAAAATTGTATGATTATGAATACGAATATACAATATACTTATTTTATGTGGATTAATAAAATTTGGTAATAATTTGGTAAAGAAAAAAGTGTATGAATATAAAAATATATTGCATAAATAAAAATAGTGTATAAATATGAAATACAATATACTTATTTTGTTTAGATTGATGAACTTTTTGGTATGTATGGTATTGACAAAGAATAAAAAAAATAGATTCAATTATTATTTAAGTTGAAGATAAAGAAAAGTAAAATTGTAATTAAAATTTTGGTATTTTAATTTGATGGAACAAGAGAAGAGTTGAAGAAAAGAAAAATAAAGAAAGAAAACCAAAAGAAAAAAGAACGATGCATGCTCCCGAAGGAAAGAAAAAAGCAAAGTTATTACTTAAAGTGTGATCGGCACACTATGTGGACGGTTAGGGATGGACTTGGTTCGGGCCGGGCCCGGTTCGGACCTTGAACCGGCCGGGCCTCGGTTCAAGGTATGGGAGGCCCGGAACCGGCCCGGGTAACCCCCGGGTCCGTGCCGGGCCTCGGTTCTATTTTTTTTTTGGCTTTTCCTAGTTAACCCCCAACCCTCCCCTCACCCCCAAATCAACCCTAACCACCTCAAATGGCCCAAAATACCCAGCCCAACCCAAAAACTTAAAAAAAATTCAAAAAAAATAAATAAATTAACCCGGCCCGAGCCCGAATCGGCCGAGCCGGTTCACCTTTTGAAGGGCCCGAGCCCGAACCCATATCCCATCGGGCCGGGTGGCCCGAACCGGCCAACCAACCGGTTCACTGAGCCGGGCCGGACCCGTACAGTAGCGGGCCGGTCCGGTTCCGGGCCGATTGGCCCGGCCCGAGTCCACCCCTACGGACGGTGGACTGATCCCACCATATAATTTGCCTATTTCAATTCACCCGCCCCATAATAATAACAAGCGAAAAAGCGGATAAAGACAAAGAAAGTGAAAGGCATGATAATTCGACAAGTGTTTTTTGCAAGTGCAAATTCAAAAGTTATACGATAAAAGAATTTATAATCAATATATGGAAGCATTATTTGTATGGTAATATTTATAGGCACAAACTGGTTTGATTTAACTTAATCTATTTAAATTTAGTTCATGCTAATTTGATTTCCGATTGAAATAAACTCAAATTAACGAGCACTAGCTATTTGAATGCCCCACAAATATCGAATCAACCAATAAATATGTAAATAACCTGCACGGATAGCTCAATTGGTCGAGTGGTGGGAAAATTGGACCAAGTGATCAAGGTTCGAAACCCGCAGCGACCGTGTGGAGGTTACAAAATTTGAAATAAGGCTGGACCTCTGATGCGCATGTGTATAAGCCTATCGCCGCTTTGACTGAGTCACCGTGATTAACCTCCCCACCATCCTGTCGGGTCGGGGTGAGGGGCTTCTGGGGTGGGAGATTCTACCGTTTGGACCAAGTAAATAGAACGTGGGTTCCAAGTATCCCAAATTTCCTTATAATGAAAATTTTGGATTACCTCCTTTGATTAGTGCTATTAGATATCGGAGAAATGTAATATGAGATAGCTTTATTCGATTAATGTTTTAAAATTGTTGGAGAAATGAGAATTGCGGAAACATGTGAGCCAACAATATTTAAATTTTGATGGGAAAAGGGGCAAAAAGCCCCTGAAGTTGTCACTAAAGTGCAACTATGCCTTTAAATTATTTTTTGTGCAAAAAACTTTAAAATCCTTGAAAAGAGAGCAATTAGCCCCTTTGTTGAACGGTGAAGAGCTAACATGTATGTACCGTTAATATTAACATGACACGGACTATTTTTAGTATAAAAAAATAAAATAGTGGGGCAAATCTGCTTGATACCTCAAACTGCTTTAACAGTTACCAATTCTGTTAAATTAATTATGTTAGTTAAAGGGGGTGATTGCCCTCCCTTTCAAGGATTTTAAAGGTTTTTGCACAAAAAAATAGTTCAAGGGCATAGTTGCACTTTAGTGACAACTTCAGACGGCTTTTTGCTCCTTTTCCCAATTTTGATTATTGTATTGTTTTGCAAAGACTAACTTAATTCATATTACAAACAAGAACCATATACAAAATCGTCATATAAAAGACTACATTGGAATGAGACCCAGAATTGTAGTCATGCTTAAGAGCAGCTCAACTCGTTAATCCCGCAGGAGCCACTAACAGCAATGATGCATATGTTACTAGAAGAAAACTAATATA